AATGAAAGGTCCTATATTACGCAAAACCGACTCTTTAAGCCATGTTTTAATGTTATTACCTCCTCAAAAACATATTTTTTTGTTGTTTTCTTTCATTCACCCATGTTTGAGTAATCCTTTATTATTAGATTGTCTAAATCCCAAAAGCTTAAATTGGTGCGTTCCACCTTGTGATGTCATGTGGTGGTAGTTTTCAAGTTGACAGCTACCTTTTACCTTTTGTTTAGTATACAGACAAAAATCCCACACACCGTCTTACTTGCAAATTGTGAGATTTATTAGGACAAACCGTGCAACGTTTTGGCACTAGGCACCTTCATCAGGCAAACAGGCAAAGACAAACCTGTTTGCTTGATGAAGGCCTAGTGCCGAAACGTTGCATGGTTTGTCCTAATAAATCTCACAATTTGCAAGTAAGACGGTGTGTGGGATTTTTCTCTATGTTCTTGGGCTGCTCCCTCTCTTCCAAAGCACCCATCTCAAGTAATTGATGTGAGAAGTTCTCATTCTTTTATACGTTTTGTTTAGTAGAAACTGGCAGTTAGAGGACTGAAATAATTCTAGTGAAGAAGCACAGAGTATCACTTCCTGTATTACCACATGACATCACCAGGTGGAACAAAGTATTTTCTGTTGGAGAAGAACCAAATACAGAAGCCCAAATATGCAGGGTTTGTGTGTTAAACATGTGTGAATGAAATAAAACACAACTTCAGGTCTGTTTGTGATGAGAAAACAACATTATAACATAGCTCAGACAACAGCGTAATATGGGCTCTTTAAGGTACAATAAGCTTTAAGCATCGGTAATGGCTTTCAACAAGCAGGGCACAGTGAATCTACAAGTACAACAGCTTTATAAACTTCTGCCATAAAGCGAAAACTACTAAACGGCCATATTAATTACATATCAAGTGTTGGTTGTATCACTTTAAGCAAAAAATCTGTGTTAACAAAACGTAAGAAACTTAATTACATTGCATATTGTTGCTATAGAAACAGTTCTCGTATAAATTAAATCAAATACAAACTAAATCGCTGAGATGTGTAACTTTCTCAAACTAGCGGATTATCAGGCATTACATTATAGCCAGTGAACATACCAGACTATAATCAGGGATGGGAAAAATGTATTTATCTGAGTGCTGTATTCTGAATACTAAATTGTAGAGTACAGATGTAGCATGGTATTAAAAACTGCTTTATATTTGTTTCACTGTTCTGCATTTATTTATCACTGATCAGAGAAGGAATTACACATGAACTCAACGATATCCATATTTCATGGTTTGATATTTTCTCGACATACATCTCAAGGTACGATATTGGCATTATTTTGTAGAGATGAACAAAATTGTGAATATACTCCTGTAGTATATGTATCCTCAGTATATGTATTCAATTACTTCATAACACTGACTACAATTTATGTAGCTATAACTTGGACTTTCGCACTTTTGCTGCAGTCAGAGCCAGTTATCTAGGTTTCAAAATGCCTTCCTTTGTCTTCGAGCACATAATTTCAGAGAAGAAATGTCCAATACTCTATATCTAGTATATCTAACCCACTTGAGACGCAGACTCTCGCATCAAAGCAAGAAGCAACTGGATTTTGATAGACTCTTTCTGTGTGGAGTGTGTCAGGATGACCTTTTGTACCAGTACTGCTATCCTACCATCATTTTACTGTGTACTTGAGTCACTTTTTAATAAAGTTGTAGTTCTTGCAAGTTTTTAGACGCCATACTTTTACTCATACGTGAACGATATATTTTACAGTAAGTTCTGATTACTGTTTCCACTGAGACTAAGTCTTGCACCACTCCTTTAGATATGACTGTATGACTAATTAGTATTTCTACTTGAGTAATATTATTTTATTTTTATTTGAGTTAAATATTTGGCTACTCTACTCTTATATACAATGTTAGATAAAGCACATAAACAAAGTAGAACCAGAATGAAGAGAGTAGTATTAGTAATTGTGACTATAATGTAATGCCTGATTGGAGCACACCTCATATTTAATCTATCTCTTTCTCAGTTGTTATTATTAATGCTGTTAATATTCGAGACGCGTGGTTGGATGGTCACCCTTCTCACCGGCGTCTGATCTGCGTTCCTATTGGCTACGAGCTCCTGAAGTTGCAGAGCCCCGCCCCCGATGAAACAAAAGGCGGGGCATACTGGACCGGAGCAGTCCACATGCCCCTCCCACAGCGGCCTCAGCGAGTGGGCATCGTAAAAGGTGACCCGCCCCTTCTCGAAATCTAGGCACACGCCCAGTCGGGGGGGAAGAGGGTAGGTGACTCCTGTGGGTGCTGAGGGGGCGTTGCCGTTGGCGATGGAGTCTCGGGTGCCGTTGCCATGGTTGTTGTTGCTGTGGTGATAGTTGTGCTGGGGCAGGTAGATCTTACCCATCCCCATTGTGAGGAAGCAGAAGGGAGGGGCAGAGTCAACGCCGTCTTCTGCACCGCTGTCATGCCCACTGTCTGGGTCATAGCTGGAGGAAAAAATATATACAGTTTAGTCAAATGTGTATGTATCTAAAGTTGAAATAATATAAAAACTTTCATTGCTACAGTCTTACAATCAGACAGAAGTGGTGTGAATAGTGAATGGGGTAATAAATATAGTATATGGGTAAGAGATTGCAGAGGATAAAGTGGCCAGAAAGGAAGAGAAGACCACAGAGGAGATTTATGCATTTACTAAAATATGTGAAGTTAGTTGGGGAGTAGTTTGGTTTGGCAAGATACAACAAGGGAACAGCCAAAATAAGAACAACTTTGTGTAGTTCATATTACCACTCTACTAATAAATCTGTTATTATGTTAGATTTACCAGTTAGTATTAGATCTTGTATTTGTCTCTTACCGTGGACTGGCCATGTCTTGTGGAAGGTGGAACCACTCCTGTAGTTTGGACTCCAGACCTACGCCCACCTGTTTACAAAGAAAGAAATTATATATAATATTTAAAATGAATTCTATAACCAAAAGTGGTTTAATCCATTCAGTGTAGTGAAGATTGCAGCCATTGGAGAAACAAAGCAGCCACTTCACAAGAGGATGTGCCAACACAGGTGAGAGCACAGCAGTGGACCTCAGTCTGCTGTTCATCTCCACCTAAAAGCCACGGGCCACTCTTTTGAGGATAGTGAGGTACAGATCTTAGCCAGACAAAAAAAATTGTTTTGAGAGGGGAGACAATGAGGTTATGTTTGTTAGGAAAGACAAAGAAACAGAAATGGAAGTCTCAGACATCATCTGTCTTCCATTTACAACTCCATCCTCAAACCTAAATCAAAACTAAGAAAACAATAGGGATAGCCAGGTCAAGTCCAGAGGTGTGAAAGACCCATTATGGCCCTGAATGATTCTGCTAACACAATCCCACACTCAGTGCAGTTCAATAGGCCTAGCTACAAACAGAAACTGTAAACAAGTAGGTGTGTTAGTTTCAAAGTAGTTTCAGTGTAGTTAGCTCCTCCCTTCTGACAGATATAAAACAGTGCCCACAAGCGTCTGACCAGAACTGAAGAAGCAGCTTGGATGGGCAATGAAATGTATTTGGCCAAAAAAATAAGTTTTGTCCAGTTGACAAACTGAATTTGTCCTTTCCCATGGATTCTTCCTGGATGACTCAGGCATTTTACACATGACTTCAGTTGTTTGCTTGATGTTTGCTTACAACCTCTTGTGTATAGCTAAGATATTTTTATTACTTATTATTTTATTTTTACTTGTACATACACACACACATATATATATATATATATATATATATATATATATATATATATATATATATATATATATATATAATTATGCTTTATTTGACACAATTGTTATTTTTTTGCTACTTATTTAAAATTTATTATTACCATTTTTATTTTTTTCTACTTATTATAATATATTGTCATGTGTGAGCTACTGTGTCCAAGTAATTTCCCTTGTGGAAATATTCCTCTCAATAAAATAACTGATTTGGAAAATAATCCACATTTTACCTATTAATATGCTGAACTCTGAATGTCATTTCTGAATCTCTATCTGAAATGGAAAATTTGAGTAAACATGGCAGCGCTTCATTCATATTGTGTTTTTATCAAATTATGGTACAATGATGGCACTGGAGAAGAGCTCACTAGAAAAGCATTAGTCACAGCTGAGGGGGATTTTTAGCAGCAGATGCATTCGAAGAGGTGATAAACGCGTCTTCACACCAAGAGATGGAGCAGTCTAGACATCTATCAGGGCGCGTGATTGAATTTATAAAAATGGCGTCGCAATAAAATAATATCATTTTGTAGTGCTTTGTTTAAAATCGAATGTGACTTGGTGTATTTCATGGCTCACCTATCAGTTTAAAACACAGATGCAACTCCCAAACTATTTACTATGGGTTTCAGTCAAATTACTTTTTCCTGCTATAGACGCCATTTTGACTTTTGACTATTCAAATAACAGATCAGTTATGTTTTGAATTGTTTATTTTTTTATTTCATTATTTTGTATTTATTATAGCGACAGGATTGTGTAAAAACCTAAATGAATTATGCTAAATTAATATAAGCAAATGAAACAAAACACTAATCCAGTAGGCAACAACATTACAACATATCTTAAAGCTCAGAAGAAACAGAACTTTTCAGCACAGAATTTTTCAGTATCATAATTAACACTATTACTAAAAATCATGTTAAATCTTTGGACGATACGTACTATAAAATAATAAGATAATGTGTGTTTTTACCTTGACCAGGTAGGACCCGGGCTCCACTGAGCATGCCCAGTAGTGCCGACCCTGTGTGATGGCGACATCCCCCACCAGAAGGTCAGAGGTCAAGTGACAGGAAGTGAGGGCGTGGTCAGCGGCCTGAAGCAGAGACAGTCCCGGGACACTACGGGCGCAACGCTGCTCTTTAGTCACTACGAGTCGGTCGGCATGGAGACCCCAGCGAGAGTCCAGGTAAAAGTTTAACACTGTGGGACAAGGACAGGGGAGACAAGGAAGAAGACAAGGAAGTAAGGAGGTAGGAAAGACAGTTAAGAACACAACAGGGCTATATACAAAGAAGGAAGGGTTTGATTTCCTTGTGTTGCTGGAAATTTAACATTGGCGATATTGATGAAAATTTATTTTGCAAGTTTTTTCAATTGTCCCAGTAATAATGATCACATCCTATTTGTTTGAATACATTCAAAATCTGCTAAAAATCTGTTTCCAGTTGACTTAACATTAAGAAATTGTCACCCCTTTCTCTGTAACTGCTGCAGTGAGCTTTGCCTTAAAATGTTTGTATTAACCCGCTCTTCATGATCCTGGTGTTTTTATTTTGCCATTTTGTACATTAATAAACTCCCCTTCCTAATATGAAACATGGCTTCAAATTTGCTCCTATAACCGTTAGCATCGTGTAAGGCTGTGCAACTGATCGAATTTTGATCGCGATTTTGATTTGTGTGTCAAACGATCTCTAAACTCATATAATCGAGTTGAAATGATAAGCTTAACAAAGTTTATTTTGGGACATTTTTAATATAAATAAGTAAATATATATTTTTTTTAATACAGAGATTGTAGAACAGTTGGATATATAGTTCATTTTGGATACATTTATGTTTTTCTATGCCTTATTTCATGTTGTTTGAATAATCGTGGTTTCAATATTGACCAAAATAATCGTGATAATGATTTTTTCCATAATCTCGCAGCCCTAGCATCTTGAATCCTTTGACTGGAGCCGAACTTTATGGATGACGTCACACTCATTTAGTCCACTTCTTTATATAGTATGTGTGTTTGCCTGGTAAAAGTTTTTAAATATCACTTTATATTATATAATTTTGGGAAGATTACACTGCAAGTTTATTCTTTCAGTTCATTTTTGTTCACATTTTTCTATCATAGATCATAAATTGTACTATACTATACTGACATACCTACAGAACAATTTTGATACTAACATAAAGCGAATATATTTCCTATCTCATCTGACAATTAAACCCTTTTACTTGTCACTTCGTAACTGTTCAGAACAATAAAACAGATGTATTTGTACCACTGGCAACACAAAGAAATCAGACAGTAGCAGCAGTGGGAGGAATCGACATTTACGGGAGAGAGAGTTGGAGTAGGCATGCGCCCCTCCCACCACCACACGATGACTCAGGGAGAAAAAGCACATATTGAAAAAGGCCTTACAGTTGGGATTATAGAACAAATACAATTAACAGAGGATATATGAGCAATAGCAGAGGGGAGAGAACCAGCCTACGGGGGACACCACCAATCACTTCATCACTAAAACCACTGAACGCTATGGGACCACGGATTTGAACTGAGATCCATGTGGTTAAGAGCCTCGTCTTAACAAAATGCAGACCTCAGCAGCTTTGGGGCAGGTACGGGAGAAGAGAAGGTTCTAACAGGGTGTAATGAGGATACACAACAACAAAAAGAGCTGTGTGGGAAGTAGGCCTGATGGATGGTTTGGGTTAAATGTCAAACTCAAGGCCCTCGGGTCAAAACATCTCATTTTGTGTAGCAATAAAATTAAATTGGGTTATTTAAAAGCAGCTTGTGTATGCCTATAGGAAGCACGCATTTACAGCCTGAAGTACAGTATAGTAGACTCACAGATTACAGTATGTGAGTCTGTAAGGCCACTGGAGTCTGAATGAACCATCTTATAACTCTGAATGCATTTCTGTATAATGCACATTATGGTTATTATTACTTGCAAGTCTGATTTGAAACTAAAATCTTCTTTTTCAACATTATGATTTGCAAACAAATATAAAATAAAAAATAATAATAACTAGGAACTGGGAATACTGAAATGCTGGTAATTTTTGTCTCACTCATAGTACTCCTACCAGAGCTGGGACCAAGTCATTGTTTTGGGAGTCTCAAGTAAGTCTTAAGTCTTTGACCTCAAGTCCGAGTCAAGTACCAAGTCAAATACAGGCAAGTCCAAGTCAAGTCCTGAGTCACTGGCCCATAAGTCCAAGTCAAGTCCAAGTTGTCTGCTTTGAGCTTCAAGTCATTTCAAGTCTTTAACCAAAGTAACAAGTATAGCTTAGATTTTTGCAATTTATACAATTTAAAAAATAATTTGTTCTTTAAAGTTACAGCACATGAGTGTTTATATAGATTTTCAGAAATGATAATTTTTTCCTTTTTAAATGTCTTGACAAGAGTGCAAATCTTTATGGTCACAACAGAAAGAGTCAAGATTTAAAAGTGTTTAATAACAGTTATTTTGTTAGCTAGTCTAAGCATCAAGCCATCTCAAGTCACAAGGTTCCAGGCCGAGTCAAGTCTCAAGTCACTGACCTTCAAGTCCAAGCTGAGTCCCGAGTCTTAGTCCATTTTATCAAGTCTCAAGCCCTAAAAATAGTGACTCAAGTTTGACTCCAAGTCCAAGTCCAAGTCACAACTTGCAAGTCCCTCCTCAGGCAAATGTATCTATTTTCTATAGTATTTAAATTATATATTATATCTGTATAATGAAGATTTAGTCCAGGTCCAGCCATATGGTGAAAATAGTGCATTAAAATGTAAGTTTATTCTATTATTCTTTGTCTTCACTTCATCAGCTTAATTATTTGGCTGGTCAGCTGCATATCTGTAATAAAAAAAATTTAAAAATCCCCTTGAGGATGAATACAAGTAATCCTGATTCAGTATCAACACACTATATCAACAGACTCTGCAGCTGTGATAATAATGTATTTTGAAATATTTATTAAACTAAAATGTCATGTCTAGGGCCGCAGCAGGGTTAATGTTACCTTAACCCTGGCACATTTAGAGAATTAAAATATCTATTGTACTTTGAGATTCTATAGCATTACATTAGATCTTGAAAATCTAACTTTGAATCAATTATTATACACAAAACAAACATATTAATGAAATCAGAGTAGTTATTATTATATCTACTAGTCTGATTCATTGTGCAGAGTTTGACAAAGGCGGTTAGAGGAATGGGTGGGTGAGTGGGTGGTCTTCTTACGTTCAGAGGAAGGCAGCAGAGTGGAGCTCAGTGGATGACATGAACAAAGCTGAAATGGAAACCGTATATGGACAGAAATAAAGAGAAGACACAAGCGATGATGAAGGTAGAGAGATAAAGAGAGGATGGACAGAAAAAAGAAAATTATTAAGACGTCTTTTCAATGGGAGCCGTTTCAGATGATATTATTGTGTGTATTGAGATGAATGGGCCTCAGGTGACAGGTGCTAGGGGAGGATATAATGAGCTAGTGTTGCGCCTGTCATGTATCTGTCACTATTTTAGACTATTAAGAGTTTTAACTACGGATTAAAGAAATGCTTTTACACAACTGCCTGGGGAATAGGAAGAAAGGCCTTTGATATGAGATACTTTTAGGTTAAAAGTTATGTTTGTAGATCAGGCTAATTACAGTATATTTAACCATCACATACAAAGCTGCCATTGTTATAGGAAGATAAAATGGTATACTGTGAAATGCTTTCGACAAATTGCTTGCACCAAATCTGATTTGAACCTAAAATATTCTGAAAAAGATTTCTGGAAGTTCTTGCAGCTTGCAAAAAATGGGAATACAGAAATATTGGTTATTTTTATCTCACTGTTTTCTGTAACACTATAACACCTAAAACTATGTATCTAGTGTAGTGTACATCCAATGTAATTGTTATGTCCATATCAAATGAATACATAAATATAGATAAAGGGGACATTACATTACTTATTACTAACTGTGTCCAGTCAGTCCTATTTTGTATCTAAGAGTTTTTTCTTTTTATCTCAAACTACTCTCCAACTTAAGGGCCAATGTTTCACTGGTCTATTCTGTACCGCATTGCTGTAGCTCCTCTTACAAAAGTACAACTTTAAAACAGTGTTTTAGCTCCTGTTATAAAAGGTACAACTTTAAAACAGTGTTTTAGCTCCTGTTACAAAAGGTATAACTTGGCAGATTCTGTGTTATCGGATATTATTGGAGTCTAAGGTTAACACTGAAAACATTACAGGAACTCTATAGTAGCAACATTATTAAACAGCTTTTCAAAAACTAAATTTCTTTTCAGGGCAAATCTCTTGGCACCAGTTTAATGTACTTTATTATCAGGCATCAAAATTAATTAAAAAGTGTCAGCTTTTTATATATAACTTCTTTCTTGTCGCTGGCAGCCATTTTGGGCAAGTGCCTAAAGCCAGTTTAATCAACAACAGCTTATTTGAAATCAAATTAATGAGTTTTCTAATCCCAGACTGATTTACATTTACTCTTAACGGGATGTGGAGTGTTTCTATTTGTCTGTAAACACATTACACATAATATACTGTTCATTTACTCATAGTTTGTAGACCTGTGGTAGTTATGGAGTCAATAAGCACACATTCATTTATATTTTACATGAAGTTGTAATGGATGGGATTTTGTGTACTATTTTACAGTTTATTTGGTTAGTTGTTTTTGTAACTTATAATTATAACTCACTTTATTGCTCATTACAACATTTTACTGAGTGGCTTAATTGTTGTGTAAATGTTGTCCTTGAGTGCCCAGAAAGGTGCCTTATAAAATTCAATTTACTTTATATAAACTATTTGAGTTGGAAGCTTCTCGAAACATATGCTTCTACACTTCGTTCTCTGTTAGGTTTGAGTTCAGTATTAAGCAGTCTACAAAATGGACTTGTACCTGTAATAATTATAATGGTTATAATAGGCCCCCCACCTGCTCGTCTCAACACTATGGCCTTAAATTTATCTAAACTATAAGAGTCGACACTAAGAATGCATGTTTTCAAGGTATTTTCTAGCAACAACATACACCTGTAATGGAATATTATGCAAAATAGATATGTTATACTAGTACTGTTTACTTATATCTTAATCTTAAGTCTGTATATTTGAGCATTTTTGACTCTTTGTTATTATATTGTGATGTGCGAGCTACTGTGTTCAAGTTATTTCCCTTGTGGATAATAAAGTTTGTTTAAAGGTGCACTACACAACTTTTCTGGTGGAGGGTCCACTACCTGCTTGTCTCCATGGAGATGTTATTACTATCCCTTCAATGTTCCATGGTATGACATTAAACATATCCATCTAGCATTTATTCATGACAGATGTCTCTATTGCTCAAAGATAAAATAATTCCTGCTTGTCTCTTGATAGACAGGTTTAATCTATACTGCGCAACATTCTAGACAAAGTAATAACATTTCCATGGAGACAAGCAGGTGGCAGACCTTCTACTACAAATGTTACACAGTGCACCTCGAAGTCTAAGTTTAATGCCATACTTTCAGGAAAGGCACTAAAATCTCCAAGGTGACAAGCAGGTGACAGCCCTCGACCAGAAAAAAGTTACATAGAGCATCTTTAAAGGTCTTATATGATGCAAATTTACTCTTGTGAGATTTAAGCCATGTTATAATGTTGTGAGCTCCTGAAAAACATACCTAGAGTTGTGTTTTGTTTCATTCCCACATTTTGAGTAATCCCTTATTGGTCCGTCTCTATCTCCAAAGCTCAAAATGCTCTGTTCCTCCTCTTGATATCATGAACTTTTTTACATTTAGTTCAATAGAGACTGGCTATTTCAGGACTGAAATTATCCAAATGATGCTAGAGAAAGAAGAGTTTAAAAACACAGTGGAGCACTTCCTGTATTACCACATGACATCACAAAGTGGAACAGAGTGTTTTCTTTTTGAGAGAAGAACTCAGCCTGAATATGCAGGATTTGTGTATTAAACATGTATAAATGAAACAAAACTCAGCTCCAGGTATCTTTGTGATGAAGAAACAACATTACAACATAAATCAGCAATAATAAAACCTCGAAGGTGACAATCAGGTGGTAGACCTCGACCAGAAAAGTTACATAGTTCAACTTTAACTCCATGTGTCCTACCTGGAGCGGGAGGAGTATGCAGGTACACCTCTTCGCTGTAGTCTCCATAACCCGCTTTGTTACATCCTCGGACTCTCAGCACATACACACTGTCCATCTCCAGACGGTCGATCACAGCGCTGCCCCCGGTCACCTCATCCATCCTCTGCCAACCCCAGCGGGCAGCAGACAGACCCCCCCTCATGCCCCCGCGCGCCCCTCCTCCTGGGACCACCCCACGGCGCCGATACTCCACCGAGAAGTGCCAGGCCGGGGCAGACTCTGGGGGCAGACGCCAGCAGAGGTACAGCTGGTCGTAGGCTAGAGAGCGCTGGGTGTCGATAACCGGGGCCTGAGGAGCTGAGAGAGAGAGGGGGAGCGAGCGGTATGATGTGATTAGGTTAAATAAACACCTTCTTCATTTCAATAATAATATTTACATACAGCTTGTAATTTTTGGGGGTCAAATCATAGACTGTATATATAAATGGACATCGACTCTGTTTCCAATTGACTTTACAGTGAAAAATTGACACCTCTCTCACTGTAACTGCTGCTGTGAGCCTCACCATTGTAGTCCTGGTGTTTCTATTTCACTATTTTGTCCGTAAATAAATTCCTATTCTCAATATGGAACTAGCTCCAAATTCGCCCCTATAACCGCCAGCCTCGTGAGCTTCATTTGACTGGAAATGAACAATATGGGTGACGTCACAGACAGCCTATGAGTTAAATTTATTTATTAGGACATTTCACCTGTACATATTAATACCTCGTTAATAGTAAAATGCGTAATAAGTGCCTAATTACATCTTTGTTAGTATTTATAAAGTACTTTCAATGCATTTTAGTCTAAGGTCGTATTTGGTAAGTATTAAGCTATGAACCGTTTTCTTCCCATTATAGTAGTGAGGATTACAATAGATGTTTCTGTACATACACTGAAATCTTAATAAGCCTTAATAAGTGTTTGATAAATACCAACTAATAGCAAAGTAACAGCTAATTAGCAGACTTATTGGCACTTAGTAATTGATTAATAATTGGTCCGTGAACTAAAGTGTCACCCTAATAATGAATGACTATAGAAAAAATCCCCCTTTTTTTTTTTTTTTTTGGTTTTCAGACTTTACATGTAGTTTACCCACAGTTTCACACTATACTACAAACTAAAATATTTACAAAAAAAAGAAAATATTTATGTTTCTTCAAAGCTATATTCAAATGGTGGGATTATAAAATGGGACACAATGGAAGCAACAGTAAAGAGCCATACGTACTTTATGTGTTTATTGGGATGTAACTATATCCAAATCTCACAGTACGATATTTCTTGTGATATTTTGTGGAGGCTAACAAAATTGTGAATATGCTACTTTTTCCTTTTAAAATGCCTTGAAAAGACTTAATCCAAAGAACTAAGATTTAAAAGTGCTTAGAAGTGTTATTTCTTCTTGTAGTTTGCGCCAAAACGGAGCAAAGAATCATGGTCTATGTAGTTCCTTATGTTTTTTCCCTATTGCTGCACCATAACAATGAAACTTGTGATTTGATATATTGTGATGGTCCACGACATTATTGAGAGACTTTTGACGATATCATGATATTTTGGATATTGTTACACCCCGAGTTTATATGTTTATTCCAGGTATGTTTTTGATGAGGAAACAAAATTATAAAGTAGATCAAAAAATAGAGGCCCTTTAAAATAAGAGAATATTTCCTTGATGTTGTAAAATCATCCTTCACCTTTAATAGCCTCTGTGGTGCACCTCTTCACCCAGTTTTAGACATAAACCTGGATTTCCTCCATACCGAATCTATGTAATCAGAGGAAACTATTCACTCCCTTTCTGTCTTATCTGGCTCCTCGAATGCACCCGCCCCATCGTCGGGTCTTGTGATTTTGAATGGTACCTTGGATGAAGTTCAGGTCCGTGAGGAGTTTGAGTTCTTTAGACACATCCAGCTGAAAGTGCCTGAACGAAGGATCCGCCGCCAACGTGAAATGCTGCAGATTCTCGATAGCTTTACTCAACCTGTGACGAAGACAGAGGAGGTGAAGGGAGTGTTTATTTAATGTTTCCCAGATGTGAGCTTCCCTGATAAGGCTGTTGAGAAATAACAAAATGTACTTCTTAATGTGCTTACTGTTTGGATTTGTAGCTGCTTTCCATATTTGGAGTTCTAGTCTACACTGAGTTGCATGTGAGTAAAAGGATGCAAACTTAGGACATTTTTAAAACTTGTTCAGCAAATCGTGTATGTTAAAGGTCTTATATCATGCAGTATTGACTCTTGTGAGCTTTAAGCCACGTTACAATGCTGTTACCTCATCAAAAATACCTGGAGTTGTGTTTTGTTTCATTCACACATGTTTGAGTTTGGTTTATTAGCCTGTCTACATCTCCAAAGTTGAAGCAGTAGTTTTCAAGTTAACATCTAATTTTTATGTTTTGTTTAGTAGAGATTGTCCAGTCCAGGGCTTACGTTACCCAAATGATTCTAGTGATGGTATATAGAGTTTAAAAATACACTCGAGCACTTCCTGTATTACCACATGACATCACAAGGTGCAACAGTGTTTCCAGTTGAGACAATAACTCAGCCTAAATATGCAGGCTTTTTGTGTTAAACATGTGTAAACTAAGAAAAACACAACTCTGGGTATGCTTTTGATGAGGAAACAGTAGCATAGCTCAGAAAATACCTTATATGTGTCCTTTAAAAAGCAGGTTCATGGTTCAATCCCCACCAGAGAGTACATATAACTATTGAGTACATCGAGCAAGGCACTCAACTAATTTTACCTTTAGGGCTATATTTGAAGATGGTGAGAGGGAATTGCTTATGATGGTCCCAGGGCAGTTGTGGCCAGTGCTTTAAATAAAGGTGCACTATGTAACTGTCCGGTTTGTCTCCAAAGAGATATTATTATTTTGCCTAGAATATTCGACAGTATGGCATTAGAGAGAGGCATTCCTAGTCACCCTACTCATTTTTGCATGAGAAGCACAGGTAATGGAATAAATTCAAGATAGATACATCATTTAATATTGTACTGTGGGGAGTGTTTGTCCACTGATCTGAAGGTTAGCAGTTCGAATTCCGCTCTCGACGTAAACATCGTTGGTTGAGCGGTTCCAGCTCCCGCAGGTGAATGCTGTTGTTGTGTCCTTGAGCAAGACCCACCTCGCCCCTTGTGTCTGTGTTCACTGGTGTATGATTGTGTATGCGAATGGGTGAGTTTTCCTTGATGTAAAATGTTCTGAGAGCCTTGACAGTGGAAAAGCACTGTATAAAAATGTGACCGTTTACCAGCAGCAAAGCAATAACATCTGCATGGAGACAAACATGTGACTCACCCTCCACCAGAAAAGTTACATCATGCAGCAGTAATTACTTGCAAAACAAATCAAATGCATTATTATCATATGTTATATTTATAGTTTTTGGGTATGATGAATTCAGGTTTTTTATTCTTGGCAAAGTAAGACATTAATTGGTGATTTTCTAAAATGTAATGTAAGGGCCAGATTTCCCTTGTGATTGTGTTGTACTTTGCCATGAAATATCCAAAACTGCTTGTGTATATGTTTCTCCATAGTAGAGTCCTACACTACCCACGAGACCCAACGCAAAATGTGTGCGGTGCGGGACACATTTTGAAAGCTCATTAAGGGCGTGAGCGGGTGGGATGATACACTGCAGTCCCGAAAACTAAATATGAGTGTAAAGTAAAATATTCAAATGATGAATGTATGCCTATCATGCATAATTTGTGCTGGATATTTTATTTGGCCTTAATAAAAACATTTTAAGCAGCCTAAATTTGATTATGTAGTCTAATCTCGCACATATTTTAGACAATTCCTTTCTGCTTCTCCGTGTTTGATAGAGCTTAAGAAAGCAAACGTTCCCATCTTGTGGGACTTGTGGACAGAAGCAGGACAAAATATTGTAGGTGTGGGCTAGAGCAGGACTGAAAATAACAATTCTTTGCAGGAGTGGGACAAAAAATTCAGTCCGGCGCAGACCTCTACTCCATGGCCTAGCACCAAAGTACATCTCTGACATGTTAGTGCCATATGAACCGTCTCACACTCTGAGGAGCTTGAGGACCAGCCTCCTGCTGGTGCCCAGAGTCAGAACTAAACATGGGGAGGCAGCGTTTTAGATTCATGCAGCTAAAACCTCGAACAGTCTTCCTGAACATGTGAGAAGGGCCTCTACTTTGATGCTGTTTAAATCCAGGCTCAAAAAGGTTCTGTTTAGCTGCGAATGACTGGAAGGTTTTCCTTCTGTACTCTTCTCTCTCATTTCATATCTCTCTCTCTCTCTGTTTAATTTTATGATGATTATTTATGTTTTGAATTGTTTATATTGTCATTTTTAATGTATTTCTTCTTCTGTAAAGCACTTTGAATTACTTTGTGTACGAATTGTGCTATACAAATAAACTTGCCTTGCCTAAACTCACAAATGTTGAGCCTGTTTTTTTTCAATTAGTGACTAAACCCTCAAACTCACTGCATTACAACATAATTTAGCATTTTAAGTTGTCCCCATCTGTATTAATTAGCATTGTCCTATAGAAAGTGGTGATGTCATCTCAAAAGCAGCAATTTTTACATAGCAGAGTCTGAATTGTTTATATCAAATGGCATGTTATCACTCCTCCAGAATTACCCCACTCTCTCTTTAAGCCCACACATCTGCTGGACTGACACGGACCTGTTGTGAGTTTGGCGCGCTGCCTGGACGAAGCAGGGCTGGTCAGTCTCCTTAAGCAGCTCCTGGGTGAACGCCATGAGTCCGGCGTGCTCCATCAGGCTCCGCCTCTCCGAGACCTGCCCCGCCAACGCCTCCCCTCGCCTCTGCCTCGCCCCCTCCAGCGCCTGGGTCAGGGATGAGTGACGCTCCGCCAGGGCGGCCGTCAGGTCACGAATGCTCTGAGCCAGCTGCTCCCGGGCTGATACACTGTTCACCTGGAGAGAGGGAGAGAAGAGAGAGAGAAGGAAGGAAGGAGAAAGAGGGGGGGGGGGGAGAGAGAGAAGAGAGAGAGAGAAGAGAGAGAAGAGAGGGAGAGAGGGCGGGAGGGAAAGGAGAGGGAGAGAGAGACGGGAAGGAGGATGGGAGAGGGAGGGGGATGGAGAGCACATGGGAGAGACAGAGAGGAGAGAGAAAGGGCCATGGTAGAAGGACGGAGGGAGAAATAGAATGAGAGAGAGTGAGAGAGAGAGAAGGATAGAAGGAAGGAAGGAAGGAAGGAAGAAAGGAGAGGGAGAAAGAGAGGGTGAGAGGATAAGGGATGGAGAGAGGGAGGGAGGGAGGGACAGGGTTTATGTGCAGTATGACATCATTAGGAAGAAATACTTTCAGTGATAGAGAAAAGTACAAACTGACAAGTAAGAACACTTCTTCTCAAAACACTTTAAACAAGACACTTTGAACTTTTAGCCTTCACTTTACTATATTTTTGTATCTTTATTATGTTCATCTTTTTAGTTTGTTTGTTTCACAGTGTCAATAATGTTTCTTGATACTTTTAGTATTTTATAACTCATGTCCATTGTTTATTCATGTGGTAGTTATAGGTTTTATTGGGCTTTTAGCCTGTTTTCTATTCTCTTTAAAATATAAATGGCAAAAAAACTGAACAAACCTGAGTAAAGAGGATTGAAAACATATAATCATTATGCATTATTATGCATAATTTATTCCTCTTGTAATAAACATTGGCAATGATGCTATAGTGCAATAGAGTCCTAACTGCCTGAAAACCAGAGCTTAACATTAATCATTATCATGGACTTTCCCAATGTTATAATGTCTCTTTTAAAACAGGAGACATTTGGCATAAATAGGATAAGGACCTCCTGTTGAGTGTTAAGCAGATATCTGCATTAAATCCATGTATTTTCTCTGTAGGCTTTACTAACCTCCGTCTGGGTGATGGCGCTCTCCAGCTGTGTAATCTGAGACAGTACGGTGTCCTGGTTGGACAAAATGTAGTTCATCTCCTTTGTAATCTTCTCCTGTTAAATTAACACAAATTCCCCAGAGTTAGACTTTTGGATGCACAAATATGTTACTTCCTAAGAGCCTAGCAACTGAAAGCCTTTCTTTACTGCCCTCTAGAGGCAAACCTGGGGAAATATTTCTGAATTGTACTTTCTGCAGGACATATTCATGTTCTTGGCAAAGGGTTGAAGGAGACTGATGTGAATTTGTTTTTTCATTAGTTGCATTACACGGAAAGTCTTTGGCAAAAAATGAACAGTAAAAGCAGTGATGTAATGTTTTATTTGACAGCAGAGACTTGGTCGTACCTTGAGCGCCTGATAGGCCTGGGCCACTGGGAGTATTTTGTGTCCTCCATGAACTCTCCGCAGTTTACAGAGTGAACACAGGAGACGCTGACACGTCCTACAATAAAACTGCAGCTTCTCCTGATCGTGCTCCGGACACGTCAAAACCTGGGGAAATGATTTTATAATTACTTTATAACATAATTCAATTTTTCATTTGAATCTCATTTGTGCTGCACCCAGTGCTTCTTTACAAAAATCATGTTGGGAAGTTAAAAAACAAAGCAAAACACAATTTCTATGATGTATGTATTTGTGAGAGTACATATACATTAGCATTAAAATAATGGACAGCGTTAAATGGACCCAATTTTTATTCAATCTTTTTTTTTTTATATTGATGTAGATAGATAAAAATGATGTGATTATTTTACTGCCCATAAAAAACAGTAAAGCACTGTCTCCACACACATGGCCTCACTTGTGCTAATTCAATACTGATAGATTTAAACAAAGAGTTGAGCATCACCTTTGGTCTGAAGTTGAGTGTGGGCAGGATGTGCTCGTGCTGTGCCCGCGGGGTGCCCCAGGGGTGGTACAGCTTAAAACACTCGTTACAGAAGTTTGCTTTGCAGTCAGCACAGCCCTTTGTGGCTTCCAGCGCGTGAGGAGGTTTACAAAACTGACACATGACGGCCACATTGCCCAGACTCACAGTGTGACGATATCTGAGCAGAGAAACATACAGCATACAAAAGCATTCGGTTAATACAGAGGAAGATTTAATAGGTACAGTACATTCTAACAACAAAGGATAATTATGTGAACTACTTTTAGAGTTGAAAAGGTTTTGTGTCTCATCCAAGAGTCTTCGTCAGTTCTGAAGAAATACAGTAATAAAACAAGAAATATTAGAATTTACAGCAGGTAACACATATCATTTTATACCTTGCTGGATAATATTAGACCACAAGCAAGTGAACTTTTGTCCTCAGAGTTGAATGATTTATCAGACACATGAAAATGTGTAAGGATTTCAGGTAGGGTGCAAGGGATCAAAACTGCTGTAGAAAATTGAGCCCTAGATTCTCTTAAATTGTATTTTAAAAGTTCTATATGACATAAACCTGACTCTTGTGAGCTTTAAGTCATGTTATTAATGTTGTTACCTCCTGAAAAACATACCTGGAGTTAAAATCCTGTGTTTTGTTTCATTCACACGTGTTTGACTAACCCTTTTTTATTAGTATGTGTATATCCCCGAAGATCAAAATGCTCTGCTCCACCTTGTGATGTCATGAAGCGGTAGTTTAAGTTGACTTTCTTTTACCTTTTGTTCAGTAGAAATTAAATATGCAGGGTTTGTGTGTTAAACATGTGTGAATGAAATAAAACACAACTCCAGGTATGTTTGTGATGATGAAACAACATTATAACAGATCAGAACAGGTCATAATTCAGCTTTGCACATTTTCTACATTATTTGCTAAATACTAAATATTGTGGAAAACTGACTCATCTATAGCTCACTGACTTGAAGTAAGAAACTGTCACTGATTCTATGACATATACACATTCAAAGTAGAAGCACTGTATCTTGTGCTCTGGGTGATTTTACATGTATAAATCAGGACACCACAAAATCCATTTCAACAGAGTGATGACTCCACTTAATTATCAGACTGTAAAACACACATTCAGCCATAGTAGCACCTTTCTGTAGCTCCACTTGAGTGTTTCACAGCTGAGCCACCCCTCCTGAGTCATCACAAGCACTGCTATTTCACCCTCTTTAGAGTCATTATATACGGCCTGTGGGCTAACATAAGACATTACATTATGGTCATTTACTCTAATTGAGCTCTGAGTTAGCTACAGTAGTTAGCAATAGTAGTTTTTTACTCCACTTGTGTATTGCCAGAGCAGGTTCATCTCTGTTCATTCATTTTACTGATGATGACTGGCCACACCCCACAAAGATGAAAAATGTAATATAATCCTAGTTTGATGGTGTGTGTAAGTGTGAACGCAGTGGTAATTTAACAGTTTTCAAAGCAAAATTAAATCATTTCATATAAGGATGTAACGATATCCAGTTCTCACAGTGCAATATTATCACCATGTACAATATTTATTGTGATATTTTGAAGAGGCTGAAAAATTGTAATTAGATAGGGCACTTTTTTGCTTTTAAAATACCTTGACAAGATTTTGGTGTGAATTATTTCCATCATAATCCCTAGAATTCAAGTAAAAAACATATTTCTTCATGTTGTCTGCACTGAAATGAATCAGGGGATATGTAGTTTACGATGTTTATAAGTTGTTGCTATTATAAAACCATGCATTTAAGCAAAGGAACTTGTAATTCGATATGTTGTGACAGCCACGATATTATTATGAGACTTTTGATGATATGATATCACAATATTTCAGTTATTGTTACATCCCATTTCAACTCAATCTATACTCTAAAAGTCACTCTAAATGTAAAGATGACAATAAATGTGAACGTGAAATGTGAACTATTAAAGGTCCTATTTTACGCAAAACTGTCTCTTGAGAGCTTTAAATTGTGTTAGAATGTTGTCACCTCTTCAAAAACATACCTGGAGTAGTGTTTTGTTTCATTCACACATGAGAAACTCTGCTTTATTAGTCTATATCTCCAAAGCTCAAAATGGTCTGTTCCACCTTGTGATGTCAGGTAGTGGTTGTATTCAAGTTAACAGCTACTTTTACCTTTTGTTCAGTAGAGACTGACAAAAAACACAGCACTTCCATTTGTGTGTTAAACATGTGTGAATGAAACAAAACACAACACGAGGTATGGCTGTGATGAGGAAATAACATTATAACAGAGATCAGAAAAGAGCTAAAGATAATATAGACTCTTTAAAGTGGTTTTCTTATCACTATAATTGTTCATTCAAGATTGTATACTGTCTTATCCTCAGTATCCTACACATTTTATTCTCTGTTATAACAAGCCCACCTCTCCACTATCCTCTCCAGGGTGAGGTTTCGGAGACATTCGGCCAGGCCCCTCTCCCCCAGCTCCACGTCTCTGCGACAGGTCCCACAGGGGAACATCATGATGAGAGGGGGTCCATCTTTACGCCTCCTCCCACCATAAGGAGAGCGCTGCAGGGACGGAGAGGGCGGGTGCGGACCTGTCGGGCAGAGATGAGTGCAAAACAGATAAATAAGATGTAATAAAGAAAATGTGAATATTATTTATATTTGGATCGATAGTTATTTTTTATCAAACTGTTTTATTCCTACCAGTTTTGAGACTATTTAGACTTAAAGATGCACTGCGTAACATTTCTTGTCTCCATGGAGATGTTATTGCTTTGCCTAGAATGTTCCATGGTATGATATTAAACATATTCATCCAGCATTTATTCATTACGGGTGTTTCTATTGCTTAAAATTACAACAATTCATTCTGTGAATAGAACTGACTCTCCACAGATCTGGCTTGTAATGTAGCGTTGTGATGTAACCTGCTTGTGTCCCTTGTGGTTTAATCTATACTGTCGAACATTCTAGAAATTGCAAATGCAATTGCATTTCCAATGAGACAAGCAGGTGGAAGACCCTCCACAAGAAATGTTACACAGTGCACCTTTAATGTTTGTTATCTATGATTTAGTCTTAATTTTGTTTTGTCCACTTTGAGAATTTTTCACTGTTTGGAGGTTTAGTCTCAGAAAGTAAAACTGTGAAACAAAATGTTCAATGAGATACAAACTAAGGCATAATAACACAGGCTGACATGTAGTTTTTACCTGAGCGTAGCACCCGGTCTATGGGCCTCTGGTCGGCCTTGGGCGTGGGTCTGCGTGCCCCCCGTGGAGAGCGTGTGTTGGGGGTAGATGCTGGTGAGTTGGGCTCTGGGGGCAGGTCTGGAGGGGGGTATCCATTTGCCACCAGGACCTCAGAGGCACACATGAGGCAGACGCTGTGCTGGCAGGGCAGGACCACGGGCTGCTTCACGATGTCCTTACACACGGGACAGTGCAACTCATGCTCCAGGCTCTTCATGTTGGACTGTAGGGGGCAGCAGAGAGACAGCATGTTTCACTGTGTCTTACTGAAAATATACAAATCAATCTGGTAAAAAGTAAACATGAATATGACATATAGATTTTTTTATTTTTTTCCCCTGGGGGTTAGGGGTTGTAATTTGTAATTTCTGCACCACTGGCCCAGTCCTCTTCCACTGGCCCCTAAATTAAGTCAAATGGTTTTTCAAAAAAAAGAAGCAGACCACTGATTTAAAGTATTTAAGTTCTTCGTTTTAACTTAAAATTATACTACATCAAGCTAAAGTATTCATTTTCATTTATATTAATACTTATAATATGGTTCAGTTGTCAGCTTTCAGTTTTCATTTCACAAAGTCATGTTGCTGATTTATACAGACTAGTTCCTGGGATAAAAATAGACTGAGCAGAGAGGACAGAGAAGAGCAATGAGATGTCCTCAGCAGGACACAGGGCGAGATTCACATCAAATATGAATAAAGACTGAATCAATATTTCAAACTCAAAATGGAACTCAGCAAATCCAGCTACAACCTTCATAAACCGGCAGAAAAGTAGAGTTTTTCTTCAAACCGCATATTTAGAATGAGTTTTGTTTAATTTTAATGGTGCACTTTGTAACTTTTCTGGTAAAGGGTCAGTGACTTCTTTGTCTCCATGGAGATGTTATTGCTTTGCCTGGAATGTTCCACTGTAGTATGACATTAAACTTACCTATCTTGCATTTATTTTACAGGTGTTTTATTGCACAGAAATATCCTCAACCACCTGTATTCTCACTGTGGGATGTCCCTCCATCTGACCTGTAACTTGGTCTGATGGCATCACCTGCTTGTCAGTGGAACAACTCCAAGTACTGTGGAACATTTCTGGGCAAAGCAGTAACATCTCCATGGAGACAAGCAGTTGGTGGACCCACTATCAGAGAGATCACGTAGTGCACTCTTAAGAAAGACTCTATAAAACCCTGTACATGTTACTTTAGAATTAAAACAAAGCAGGGCTGCAATGAAAAGACCAAATGTACATTAAGTGTATAAAGAGTAGTAGTAGTAGTAGTAGTAGTAGTAGTAGTAGTAGTAGTAGTAGTAGTAATAGGAAAGGTGTTTAATAATTAATTAAATAGGTAGATAACAGTATGTAGGTAATTTGTATGGTGTATTGACTGTATTTTAATTGCTGTTGGCCCCATTTATAAGCCAAGGCCAGCTTCAGGAGGTGGTCCATTTACAAAATGTATTTGCTAAATTATGCTTAATGTTTTTACTGTACATTTTTGTAATTTTGTAATAAATAAGATAAATGAGACAAGAACATTAAATAGTAAGAATTAAATCCTAATTAAACTGCAAATATCTGCAGATCTGAATAACTTAAGAGTATTTACTTCATTTTAGAGACAACATTTTCTAATCACAGTTTTACGGGTGCAACATTTTTAGTATTTTGACACCTCACTCTGCCTCACACTTTACCATATGCCGTGTTGTGAAGACAGCCACATGAGATTTCACTAAGGCAAATTTTGTTCATATTGTTCTAATGTCCTCTGATAATTTACTGCTTATTGGCTTTATTACTCAGCTGGTCCATTTGGCTTTAGTGGGTCAGTGCTGAAGCAGCCTTCTGTCTGTGAGGATTAGAGGTTAAAATACATGTGAGGCTCAAGGACAAGAGACGGAGAGAAGGGCAGACCAGCTGCAGGACTGAGAGAAATCTATTCACTATTCTATTATTTTCAATCTATAATAGTCCATATCAGCCAAATTATATTAAAGGTGCACTGTAACTTTTGTGCTTTAAGGGCTAATATTACAATATTTTCTCATTTATGTTATACTGTTGTTAGAATCACTTGGGTAATTTTAGCCCTGGAACTGCCAATGCCGACTGAACTAAAGGTAAAATGTGGCTGTTAAGTTGAAAACTCCCATTAACATTAACATTATAACATAGCTTAAAGCTCACAAGGGTCAATTTTGCATAATAAAGGACCTTTAAGATGGCATTGCTTTGCCTGGAATGTTTTGCAGAGTCCAGAGGACTTAATTGTTCAAATAAAACTTAATTTTCTTTCTTAAGAGTGCATTCAGGCAACTGGTTAGGCCAAACTAAATATCGGCCTCTGCTGGAGATTTATGACTGATAGCCAATACGCTAAAAACGGCAAATATCTGCTAACCAAGGTATTAACCTTATCTGTCTGCATGGACAGAAGCAGGTGACAGCACCAGGCCATGTTACAGGTCAGATCTGTGTGAGAGGCATTAAGAAAGCAAGGTATTATTCTTAATACCTTATGCGAGGTAGACAAGTTAAATGCTGTACTTTGGAACATTACAGGCAAAGCAATAGCAAATCCATAGAGGTAGGTAGTGGTCCCTCCTCCATAAAAGTTACATAATGCACCTTTAATTGGCAAAATTGCTACTTCAGAATCCAAAAAATAATAACAGATTCTGTTATTGCAATACAAAACAACCTAAAATGCTTTGCCAATACTTTGTTCACTGATACATTGTCCTTTGGGGAATACATCTGTTTGGACAATATAGCAGTTACACGATGTAATCAGACACTCCTGTACTGTGGCCGGGTGCACCGTTAGGATCGTGGCTTTATTGATCTGTTTTCAGGAAACTGCAAAATGCCAAAACAATATTGACCATTTAGATAAGGATACCTTCCAATATTAGAAACTTGTTTGTAAATGTTGAATCACATTATATTAAACATACAAAGGAATATAAAGGAACACTCATTTCAAGACACCCCAAGAGCATTGCAGTATTCATTTGCTCAATACTTGGGTGGTGGTGGTAAACTCCGGATGTAGCTACAGCTGCCCTGGGGCAGCCTGACAGACGTGAGGCTGCCAATCTGCAATATTGACACCTCTGAACACCACCAATCACTCACTCGCCACATTCAAGGCACTGTGGGTGAAGTGTCTTGCCTAAAGAGAGTATATTGAGCATGTTAGAGCCACTGTCGTCCCAGTGACACCTATTTCTATACCTATAGCATCTCCCATAGCAACCAGGCCCAATCCTGTTAAACTTCCAAGATTAGATGAGATCATGCACTGTCCACACGGTATGGCCACAATCATTTCCCCTTTCAAACTAATTTAAGATGTTGTTTCCATTCACTTATTAGTCATTGACATTACATGCAAGCATAACATATAACGTATTTTCTTGATCATTCTTCCATGAAATAGGTCCAAACCAAACAAATCTATATACAACTGTTAAAAACAAAGTTTAAATGTATGCATGAATGTTTTTCCTAACTATGGACAGAATAATATTGTGTCTGTGGATTTGGTGTTGAAAAAAAGAATAAATAAAATATGTGTTTGTGCGCAGTAAAGGAGGTTAGGAGGACATTTGTACTGAGTAAAAACTAGGACACTGGGAGTTTGTGAGGGAGGTTGACTCTGTTTATAATGTGATGTGGCATAATCTTATCACAGCAGATCACAGAGTAGCCTACAGGAGCCTCACTGTAGAAAGGGCTAATGCCACTCTGCAAAGTGACTCAAACCCCTGATTCATTTGTAATTTGAGCTATTATGAATATGATTATAGCTTGTATGACAATTTACCCATTTTTGACAGAATGGGGTTACAGTGAATGATTAGACCTATATTGAGATGGTACATAATTGGCTTAATCAAAATAACCCACTTTTTCCCTCTGTAATCTCAGTGTGTCATTCTCCAATGTCAACTGGGCCCGTGACGGTCTGTGCCGCTTCTTTAGCATTTAGCCTGTCGCCATTTCCCTCTGTTCAAACATAACTGCACATGTCCATAAAAGCTACAAGAGTGTTCATGTGTGGACACAGCAGAGCGCAGAGGGCAAAGCAGCGGGACAAAGCAGAGCCGGTGTCGTGGCGCTGCGCGAGAGATGCTGCATGCGTCGCGTTAGCGCATCTTACCTTCACCTGGAACCTAGGCGCCATGACAGTATAATAAAGTATCCAGGCTCAGCGCTACAGAACACGGCAGCTCAATAAAAGGGGAGGGGTCTGAGGGGCATAGCTCTGCAAGAAATCAGCGAGGAACGCATGAGAAATAAGGCCACGCGTAAAATACCGGGCTGAGAAACGTGCGCGTGTCCACGGCACTACGGCCCATTGTTCACACTTTGCGCATGATGCTACACTCAGCAGGTTTTGCTCTGGTCAAGGAGCAGCAGTGTCCCGCATCCCGTCTCCATGGAAACCAGCATCTGAGAAACGTGTCATTTCCCCCTATCTGGAGCTTCAACTCACCATACATAAGGGCCAAAATGAACCTGGCCAAATAGGTCTTATGTTTTCTTTTATGTGGGTTATTATTTCATCTGCGCGAGGCCCAGGTTAGAGCTGGATGTGTGTGGTTCCTGATTTATGGTCCATCATGAAAGACAGCGGGCCTTACGTTGATAGGCTAAGTGTTTTAGAGTGATTTTAAGCGATACACACACTCACTGAGATTAAATCAGATTTATGGGCATGTAGTTAATCAGGTATTTTTGCTTCATTGATAATATATCGTTTCTAGAACATGGCCACGCGCGCATTACTCACGTTGATGCGGCCCAAAGCTTCCGTGGTCGGTGGAGCTGCTTTGACGTCCATCTCTGTCACTTGAAAGAAAAAGCCACCTGCTGTTGGCATCATCTGGGAATCAGCGAAGAATTCAGGCCATGGGCCATATCATCCACTGCGAACGGTCCGGCTCCTCGCGTTTGGGCAATTAGCTTGTTGAATACGCGATCAAATTTCAGATTAAATAACGAACGGATGGTTGACAGTCATATTTTCCTAAAATAAATGAGTAAATAAGAAATCAAGCGTAGTGTGGATGAATGTGCCGCTCACGTCAGAGCGAATACCGCTGGAGAGACGCCTGTAGCAGACACCCCGCCCCCTCCAAAGCCGCCGCGGTCATGCTGCTGTCATGGATGTGCGCAGCTTCATGAGAAAAGACAAATCAACATGATGGCGTCTGGACAGTGCATTTAGATCTTCTATACACGTGTAGCAACGCTCAACGTGAGGATGTGTTTCTCTGGAGAATGCAAACATCAACAAAACAACGATCAGAGGGAAAACACCCTTTGATGTTTGATGTCTGCAGATATTTAATCATGCACATAATGTCCACCAGATGGAGCGCTTAGCACAAGAACCATAACGCAAAGTACGCTCACGGACCCAGAGATCATGTACGCAAAAATAAATAAATAAATAAATAAAATACTAAAAGGGGCAAAATTGTTTAATTATTATTTTAGGCTACTTACGTACTTTAAATGGGTAATGTTTCGGTATAGTGTTTTATTTTTATTTGGCACAATTGGAATTGATGCAATACCCCAACCTCCCCACAAGGTGACACCCCTTCTCTTTGCTTTATTATAACGCGTTCTTCAAAGTTCCTATGTATTTCTGGTTGTCTATATGAAATCTTTTATAGCTGATCTCTAAAGTGACAGATTGGTGCCAGAATTCACGAAACATAATTTAATATATTCAACATTAAATTGTGTTTAATCACACAATCACGTGCGTAAAGGACATAGTTTGGATGTAAGCTGCTTAGTTTTCCTTTCCAAACTTTACTGTCCTCTACACGTACGTAAAGCATCTTTGTAAACATATACTTGTGACTTACTTACTACAGCACTTTTCTAGTAGTTTCTTTTTTTAAAGGGTCCACTGTTCACAGCCTGTCTGACTCAGAGCGCACAGAGTTCGGGGCGGCGCCTTGGTATAAAACCTGCGCAAATCCAAATTCCACCTCCCGAACGCTCCTTTGTGCTCACGCTACGTGCCTCAGGCTTGTCCCGCTCCGGTAAGAAAAACTATAGTCTACTTTTTTATCTGTTGGTAGATATTGCCTATTATTTTGCACACAGTCTCTACTCAGTGGGAATGTGAGGAATGTATGAGATTATGTGCTAAAATCTGGTATTCACAAGTTTACTGGGAAACAAGGAAGTTTGTTCATATTCAAAGTACTGCCTCAAGTCAGTCTGTTCTGTTGTTTATGCGTGCTTATGTCTGGGTAAATTAATAGAAACTTGATTTGGGAATATTTTGTGGTCTAGACATTGCTAGTGAATATAGACAAATACAAGGCTCAAATAATAATGTATTGATAATTATAAGTTTAAAAATAGGCTGGTCTGGTTTGATGCACTATATCAGGCTATATTTTTTATTTTTTTATCTTAAGGGTCATACATTTATCTTTAAAATTATCCTATAGTGATAGTGCTGCTTCACCATAGTTCATTTAAGTTAAGAAATATATGTTTATGTAATGATATAAAGCCTGTCAGGGTGTGGTGTAGACTGGCAAGCTCACACAAGTCTAAGTAAGTCTTTGCCAGCTCAGTGTTTGTTTCTCCAGATTCCAGCATTTCAGGGCCCCTCTCCATTGTTCATCATGTGACCCCACCGCTCAAACAGTAGTCATTTCAGTCATTGGAAATCAGTGGTTGATTTTTTTATAAACAAGGCTGGATGAGGTTATGCATGGTGTAATCTTCTAACAACTTAATAACAGGCTTCTTCCTGGGAGTGTTATGGGTAGGACACTTGGACCAAAGAGCACTTCTCCTTTATACGCTCAAATACTTCAATAAGAAATGCAACTAAAAGAGGAGAAACTCTTGCTCTGTACTTTTTGCTTCTTAAATGGGCAGACCAATCTATAGATAAAAACCAACTGATTGCCAATATGCTTTACACCATTCCAGCAGTTCAGGTTTGGGCATTAAATGGACACTTGCATAGAAAAGTGCAGTTATGTAATAAGGAGTAAGAGTGAGGAAATGGATGTGCATCTAGTTCGCACTTAAATTTAACTCATTCAGTGAGCAGCGAGCCGATTGGAGAAATGGGTGGAGGGGTAACTCTGTTTGAAGAGACAACTGCATTAAACAAAGAAATAGTGAATCACAATAGCTATATAATAAATAGCAGATTGTCACAGATATGAGATTATGATACGATTTTCATCATCACATCACCACGCCTTATCTATATATTGCACACTCAATACAGCCAGTGAGTAATTATTTTGAATTAATTTAACATTATTTCATGTTTTTTCAGTAAAGAATCAACCATGCCTTCAGAACTGGAAAACTGCATGGAGGGCCTGATCAAGGTCTTCCACCGCTACGCCAAAAACGGAAATCTCAGTCGCAAAGACCTGCGAGAGCTGATGGAGTGTGAGCTCTCCAACTTCCTCAGGGTAAACCAAACTGTACTACTTAAATGGATGGTTTTCAGATTCTAGACCATGGCGTTATACTCTCAGATGGAGGGCAAGAGCCAGTTTTTCCTTTAATTACATTGTACTTTGCCATGAAATATCCAAAATGTAAACTCACAAATGTTGAACCTGATAATTTCTATAGCTGCCCTGGCCTCAGAACTCACTGTATTACAATAATAATCTGAGTTTTAACACAATCAGTTTTAGCTGCCCCCATCTGTATTAAGTATTATTGCCCTATAGAATGTTGTGGTGTCATTAACCCAGCAATAAAAGTGGTTCTCAAGTCTTAGTATTCAGAACAGATGCTACCACCAAAAACTCTATGTGATTTTTAAAGAAGACCTATAAAGTACCTAGTATAGTGTTTGATGCTGTAAGAGTAATTTCATAGTTTTTCTACGACAATGACAATAAAATCTTGAAACTAAATCTACTCTAGCGCTGAACCAAGTATGAACTCGAGCTACACAAAGGATGAACTAGATCCCCCTTGAGTATCAATGCAAGCCACTTTGTTTATATAGCACATTTCATAAACAAAACAGTTTCCAAAGTGCTGCACAAAATATATAAAAAGCAATAAAATGGAAATATCAAATAAAGCTCTATTTAACTCCACTAGTACTTGTCAAGACTAAAAAAGACTAAAAAAAAAACAACTAAAAATATCAATAAAGAAAGAGGTAAAAAAACAAAACAAAACAAAAAAACACAAAACCAGAAAGCATAAAAACAGAAAATCTAAAATCACAACTCGAAGCATCTCAGTCGTTTTATTATTTTTTTTCTGACCGGCCCAATCACAGAAATTTGGTGGCCCAGACCAAGTCTCACCTGGGCCCCCCTGTAATATAAATTAATAGGAAGAGTGTCCTATTCTGGGCCCCTAAAACCCTGGGGCCAGGACAACAGACTTTTTTGTCCCCTCCTATCTACTGCCCTGTTTTCTGATTGTGCATTTGTCTAATTGCAGTCTCAGAAGGACCCTGGTGCCGTGGATAAAATCATGAGGGATTTGGATGCAAATGGAGACGGGCAGGTGAACTTTGAGGAGTTTGTGTCTCTAGTTGTTGGACTTTCGATCGCCTGTGAGCAGTGCTACCAGATGCACATGAAGAAAGGAATGAAGTAAAGAAACCAAACAACAGAAGAAGAAAAGACCAACTCATTTCACAGTGTTTTTTTGTTTTGTAATTTTGATGATTAAATATGCTGATTGTTTCAAAGTGTTGTGTCATAATTTATATCATTTAACAAATTCAATGAGTTTGTAAGGTGATAGAAATTGACAGCATTATCTTCTTATAGTTCCTTTATTTCGAGAGATGTCACAGCAGGACAAACACAAAGTGACACAGAGCTTAATGTGGCCTATACTATTTGAGCTTAAGATTGACTCATACAAATGAAGAATGATGCTCAGAATCGAGTGGGAAGAAGTAAGGCTTATTTTTTTAACCCACTCCAGTGTTAAAATGTCACAAGAGACAACAGCTTTGGTGGTACATCTCTGGTTTGTGAAGGTGTATGAAACTGAAAGGGCTACAGTCACAATTAACAATTAAGTTGTTCACACACAATGATCCAGGTAAATAGGACTGAGTCTTCTAAATATATATATATATTTTTTTTTTTAGGTTTAATGACAGTGTAGACCAGGGGTATCAAACTTAAATTCACAGAGGGCCAAAATTAAAAAATGGGAATAAGCCATGGGCCAAACTAAATATTAACTGAAAAATAATAAATGTTTAATAACAGTTTTGCTTAATCATTGAATCCAGAACAAGCATAATATGAAATAATAACAAAATTTTAAATAAATAATGTCTCTATATCCTATCTGTAGCTGGAGGGCCAGATCTAATACATACTGAATATGATCTCCAGGGCCAAATATAATTATACTGCGGGCCATATTCGGCCTCTGTGCCAGAGTTTGACATGTCTGGACTGGTGTAGACTATAGGCCTATTGTATTACATAACACATTTGTTTCAAAAGATGAAAACAATTGAACATATTTTAAATTGCATAATACAATTATTAAGACTAGAGAATTTGGTAAGAGAGCGTGACGTCACCCATAGCTTTCAGCTCGGGTCAAATGAGGCTAGTAGTTATAGGGGCAAATTTGGAGCACAGTACAATATTACAAACATTATTATAAAAAATTTAAGACCAAAATGACGAGGCTCACTGCAGCTTTTACAGAGAGAGGGGCAACAATATTCTAATGTAAGTCAATTGGGTCAGAAGGAGCCTTAAGTATGATCATTTCCTATTTGGAACACATCAGCGCATTAGCTGCTGTATGTCCATTTATGTATACAGTCTATGGTCTAAATAGAATGTGTCATTTATTTTCTGATTTGAAGTGCAATAAGGTCATTTACCTTTTTTCACTTACAATAATGCCTGTTCCACTGGCAAAATGTTTTTCAAGATAAATACACTTAAATCAAGTTTATTTTCAGTTTGACAATCTTAATTTTGCACTCTCAACTTAAAAATATGTGAAAATAGCCATATTGGATCAGTTTCCTCAACGGTGTCGATTATTAGAAGTATCACTATTTTCATTACCATAAATATTTTCATTGGCTTTATTTAGTGATGCATGGTCCAAGTCCCTGCTCCTGACTACTTACTTCTTCCTCCAGTGTGATTGAAGGCTCACCTGCTGTAATCTAGTGTTGTCTTATGGGTGGGTGGACACTGAAAGACAATCCCATGTTTTATAATTCCTTCTTATCACTGCCCTGAGGAATCTGCAGAATGTCCCAACCATAAACACACCCTTTGTAAAGGAGGTGTTGAAACTCTGTGACCAATGTGATTAGTTGGTGCAAGATAATGTGGAACTTTAGTCATTGTGTGATCGATTTTACACAATGTGTCGGTACTACTACTGCTACTACTACGACCACCACTACCACTAATTGAATCTCTGTGGCTACTGTGATTAATTAGTTAGTGAAGATAAAATTGATTTAGCCATCATGTTCTCACAGGTAAAACTAGTATGAGTGAGGAGTGATCAAGTATACTACAAATACTCCCACTAGAACTGGTACTGCTGCTACTACTGTTACTTCAGTGCCAAATACTCCAGTTGTTACTACTACTATTATTATTCCTTCTTAGTGTGAGGTAAGATCAATAGATAGATAAGAGATAAAAATAAACATAGTGTTTTGTATCTCAGAGATAAAAGACTATAAGCTACTATACAACTGTCACCAACCATTATACTGAGCTCCTAATACTACTCCCTATGACTCTAAGTACACAAGACATAAACGCTTCTACTATCAATACTGTAACACTACTACACTACTACTACCAATACTGTATCACTACTACACTACTACTACCAATACTGTAACACTACTGCTACAGCTACGTTATGGGGAACACTGGGAATACCAGGTGCCACAGTGGGTCAGCAGACACTTGACCCACATTGCCTAGTGTGAATGTGGTGTGAGTGAGGGTTGGTAGAGGTCAGAGGGCACACACTGGCAGCCTCACTTCTGTCAGTCTGCCTCAGGACAGATGTGGCTACAATAGCTTATGACTATACCAAGTATGGTGGGAATGAATAATGCCTAAAATGAATCTGGAAAAGCAAGACAAATGCATTATTATAGTTACAAGTTGTCCTATCGCTTCTTGCAGCAACAATAATACATGTAAAAATAAATATTATACTGTGTAAAATTAGTTGGATAAAGAACAAGTCTACTTCAACCATGACTACAATGATTACAACAACTACAACTACCCCCCACCATACTTCTTTATGGCCTACTATTTCTGCACTGGCAATACCCTGGTGCTACTAAGAGTACTGCTTCTTCTCAGGGTTTGGACAAAGTAACAAAAATGACTAGGGCTGTCTGACTCAGAGACCACAGCATATCAGCAGCTCTGTGCAGTTTTTTCCATGAACTCCCTCGGATGTGTCATGGTGTGGTGGTGAAAGCTGGAAAATAGCAAAGAGGAAGAGGATCGCCCCATGTCCTAACCAAAACATTTCAGAGCGTTTTTTGCATTTTAATTTAATCTTTCTTTACCAAATCTCAACGTATACACAGCTGTTACTGACTTAAAGTGAGTCTGTTGTTTTGTATTCAGTAAAGCTGCATGTACTGTAAATAAACACCAAGTCGTAGCTGGAGGAAGTGTTGCCTATGAGGTCAAACTGAGGGAAAATCCATTGGGCTGGGCCTGTTTCTAAGGGCAACGGCTGAACCTAACAACATCAAAACAGTGCGTTGCTAACCAAAACTCTGAGCAACGTGTCGTTTTAATACTCATGTGAGGAGGTTTGATCTGATGAAGGAATGTGATTTATGGGATGTTTTGAACTATTTGTGAATTATACAAACTTAACAAACTCCAGTAATCAGTAAAATCTTTTGACTGTTGTATTAATTGTTTTAAAAGGCTATAATGTAGAGCTGAGACTAATTAGCTATTGACAAGAACAGAAGAAAAGCAGTTCATAAAATCTGGGTCTCCAAGTAGGTTAATGTAACATATAACTTGACTGATTATTGAGGTTAACAATATAGAATATGTCACATTTCTGGTGGGAACTGCGCCACTTACTTGTCTCCACGGAGATATTATTGCTTGCCTTGAATGTTCCACAATATGGCTTTAACTTATTTATCCTGAATTTATTATTATTATCATTATAAGTCTTTTTAATTACGAAATACCCTGAAAAACGATAGACCGGGAGTCACTTCTACACAGATCTGCCTGTCACTTGCGAGGTCACCAGTTACACATGAGCATATTTAATAAACACAGAATTTTACTGACATTGGATAAATGAAAATTGTGCATTTGTCAGTGAAGTCTAATATGGGTCCAATAAACCAAGTGCTACACAGAATATTACTCAAATGTAATATCATGGTTTACAGCACTGTACTCGAGGTGTGATCAGTTATGAGGCACATATCAACAAAAGATGCATTATTAGATGAAATAAATAGATTAATGACAGATAAGGTGCCCATATTATGTGTTGTATATGGGGCTTTTTATGACTTAGTTTACAGTTTAGTTATGTCACAGGATTTGCATGAATGATCTGAACAAACAAGAGCCTCCACACCCTCAACAAACTGCTCTTTTCTACACACAGATTGTACTTATATATACTGTCTATGATTCTACACTCTCCAGCTACGTACTAGTATATTAACAGCTTTACTTTTAACAGAATCTTTTCACAAAATATGTTCATCATAATGTACTAAATAGGCCTACAAACTATTGCAGAAATGTAGTACTCAGTATCAAGGATCAATACAACTGCACATAAAGAGAGGAATGAAGTAAAAGATAGAGGATAGAAATTAGAAAATAGAAGAGATGAATACATTCTTATTTGTTTGTATTCAAAGTGTTGAGTCATAATTTACATAATTTAACAAATCACTGACCTGTAAGGTAATAGTAACTGAGAGCATTATCCAATATGTCACAAGAGACAACAGCTGTCGTACCTCTCTGGTTTGTGAAAGTCTATGAAATTTGTTTACAGACACTCTTTTGGATAAACATTTAAGTCAGTACCTTCATTTTTATTGAGGCTGAATAATTGCTACAAGTAAGCCTGTTAGCACAAGGTCAATCAATGTACTTTGTATTAAAATCCTGCTCACCAGTTATGTGCCTTGCAGATATTAAGCTTGTATTCTGTATTGTAAGAGGAAATCACAAGACCCACTGCTCTAGGAAATTACACTGTCACTACTTTGGCTGTCCACTAGAGGGCATACAAGTTAAGAAAATGGAGATTTGTTAAGTAATTTTCACTGCGTATGCCAGTTGTTGTACCAGATGTTGCCTACCACCAAAACGCCACAACAATTTAAGTGCATGTCCTATTTTGGTTGGATTAAGCAAGTCACAACTGCAAAACAATGTCTAAATAGAACTGACAGTTAGTTTGCATTTGACTTCTGTCTGTATGATTTTTACTTCATTGCAATTTAGATCATTTGTAAATTAAAAGCTACTGTAACTTGCTCTTAAACATTGGGGAGGCATTAGAGATTTGGGACCACACAGAGATAAACAAACCAAGGCAGTTCTAGCTGAAGTTTTGTCCCGTGTGGTTGGATGCGGTGATTCATGTGCACAGGGAGCTGAGGGTGAGTCATGGATGAAGTATTGGAGAGAAGTGATCAGATCTCAGACA